GGGGGGGGAGGGAGAAAGAGAGGAAAGAGAGAGAGAGGAGAGAGAGACGCTTCACGCACCGACGATTCCGGTTTACCCGAATGCAAAGAGGGAGGGAAAGAGAAAAAAGATACGAGAGAAAGACACGGAGGGATACGGGGGTCGCGGAGGGCTGAGAATCGAGGGCGGCGCGGGGAGAGCCGTTCCGCGAGGGAGAGAAATCGCGAGGGAAACGAGAGACAGAGCGGTATCCCCCCGTGACGCGACCCCCCCCCCCCCCCGTCGTCCGCGCCCAGCGCAAAGCGGCGTTTCCTCGCCCCAATTACTGTGCCCGGCGCGCAACGCCTATCGTCCACGCTCGTAATTCGCGTCCGACCTCTATTCCCTTGCGATGCTGCGCCGCGTGCACCCTGAACAGCAACTGGTCCAGGAAGTACTGATAATTTGGCAGGTCCGAGACAGAGAGATAGAGAGAGATAGATAGATAGATAGATAGAGAGGGGGGGGAGAGAGAGAGAGAGAGAGGCGCGCGAACGATTGAGTCGCAACACGTTCGACGACATCATTTTAGAGGCGTGGACGAGCTGTGGAAGCCGCAGCGTCGCACGGGTTTCTCATGTATATCAAGTACTCGAGATGATTCACCCCTTAATGTAGCGAACTTTATACACGTATACGTGGAACGAGGCGGAGGAGGACACTCGACGTGGCTTACTCACGAGGCACGAGATTATCGGTGAGAAGAAGGCCAGCGGAGGGCTGACATCGACTCCAGGATGACGAGCGACGACCCACGGGCATCCTTCCGCGATACTCTCCCCCTTTCGCAGCGTGAAAACACCCCGAGCTCGCGCGGCGGTGTCCCGCGGGAGCCGCGGGAGCGATCCTCTCCTGTTGTCGTCGTCGCTCAGGCAACACCCACTTTCTCCCCTGGCCTCGTAACCTCGGCGGTTACCACTTTCCCTCCGTCCCCTCGCCGCCGGACGCAGGGGCGCAGCGCTATCCTCCGTCGTCGTCCTCGCCGTCGTCGCCGACCACCACCACAACCACTTCCACCATGAACCGCCACCACCACCGCCGTCACCGCCGCTGTCGCCGTCGTTGTCGCTGCCACAGCCACGACGAGCAACTAACGGCAGTAGCAGCGGACGTCTGATATACTACTGTCAGTTTTGCACCCCCTCGCGTGTCACGTGAGCTCCCCGTACGTTTCTCCCTCCCTTGCCCTCTCTCTCTCTCTCTCTCTCTCTCTGTCTCACCCTCAAACCCTCTTCCGCCCTAGTATCCCCCTCCGCCGCCTCTCGTCGGACGCGAGCTATCGACTCACCCCCGTGATGGCAATTAATCGCAGCTCGCCGCGCCGGGTCTCGCGTTGTGTCGCGCTCCGTCGTCAACCAGGATCGACTCCCGCTCTCGTCCGCGCGCTCTCCTCACATCGCGGCGCCGTTTCGCGTGCTGGTCCGCGCGCGCAGAAACCCGGAGGGTATTCGCGCGATGAACGCGACGTTGCAGGAGGTTACACGGCGGAGGAGCGACGCGCTCGTCGTTCCACCGCGGCCGTCGCAGTGGCCGGTGTGGCTGCGCGGCGCGATACCCTCGCTAACTTCGCCAGCGCGGACCAGCCAGCCAAAACCAGCCTCCCCCCACTGGCTCCCTACCACCCTACCCTCCCTCCCTCTTTCTCTCTCTCTCTCTCTGTCTGTCTGTCTGTCTCTGTCTCTCTTTCTGCCACCCGCCGACTGGTTGCCGCGACTGTCCTAGAGAGAGAGAGCGTACGCGTGACCGTGGCACGCGCGTGCCCCGGCATGCGCCCTCGACACGCGCCCCGCCGCGCCGCCCGCAAGGGTCGCGAGCACCCTTGGCGTCATCTGGGGTTACGCGAGCACACTCGGGGGTGGCTGTATGCCTGCAGCCGCACGGCTCGATTCCAGGAACAACTACCCTCGTCTCTTCCTCGCTCCCGACGGAAATGTTTTATTCGAAGTACCGCGAACTCTCGATGAAAAGTGAAACAAACATTATTGAAACATTGCCGAATGTATGTCGAAATTAATAACAATTTTCCTTAGGAAATTCACTGTGTGCTCGAGACGCGTCCAAGATGCACGCTGGACGTGGGATGCTCCGAGGATAAGAATCACGAGTTTTCTGGCTTTGCTATGTATAATCGCACAAGTTTACACAGAATTTAATAGAATGAATTTCCGAGTAACGATACGCGAAACTGGGGTCTTTAATCACACCGAAAGAACGGATCGTTTCGGTGTCTTCACGTGCTCTCAAGTAGCCAGAGAGAGATCTGATACACGGTAACGCAAACGAAAACCGAGAGAAAAGGCGATTCTTTGAGTCGCAGCTTTTATAGTGAGGGCATAGTGCTTTGTTCTTCCGACGATCACCAATGATCTTTCGTCACTCCGAATACTTTGAGGTGACCCCAGGGCTCCTGGCGTGATCGGCAGGGCCCGGGACGACACCTCGCGCAATTGGTATGCGCGGAGCAAGCGTTCGAGTGGCTCATTGGAGATCGGCGGAAGAAGCGACAGATCACGTGCACGCGCAGCGATCGGATCAAACGGCAACGGATTAGAGAATAATTTCGGTTTTGCCGATATGGGCCTTCGTGCAAAGTCACTGTAAGTCGGTCGTTGACACAAACATTCAACCGATCGATAGAATATTCTCGATTATTACATGAAGCCCATGTCAGCAAAATCGGACAATGAGCCTTAACAAACAAAGAAGTTTTAAGAGGGCAATCAAATTCTAGCGCGCGTCTGACTAACGCTACACGTCATCTCGAACACTGTGAAATATAGGAAAACGGCACTGTTGAAAAGTATTAAAAATAAATTAAACGCTAGGTGTTATAAAATTTACTGAATTTAACCAAAACCACTTTCTAATGAAAGTGATTTTTCAATGAGTTTTCATTCTGAAATATTGATAAAACGGAGTTAATTGAGAGATTTTCAAATTCATATTTTACTAACCTCATTAGTTTCTTCTTTTTCTGTTCTTCTTCTTCTTCTTCTATGATACACATGCATGCGGAGAGATTGCGCTGTAGACTGGAAAACCTAAAAATTGATAAACATATTAGTAGGAGTATTTCTTCTTTTAATCTAGCTCTAAACGTTCAGCACTGTTAAACTGAGAGAACCGGAAGTTACTCCAAATTCCTTTTGTGAATAAAATACAAGCTTACAGAGCAAACGTATGCAGCTAAATTAATGATTTTTAATTAAGTTTCCAGTTAAGTATAACTGAAAACGTAGCTAAATATTACGGTATACGATGAAAGAAGTTTAATCTGACCCGCAAATGTTTACGTCGAACGTAACGAGAAGTGCGCTGACAAAATTTTCCGTCCTGAAACGTCGGCAATGTAACAGCCTGCGCGGACAGACTCTAATACGGCTTTGTATCGCCTCACGATACGATTATCATCGTCTAGTAAAACAACATGAATTTATCATTTGACATCGGTAAGACGTCGTAGTGTGGCTACGACTTATGGCAAAAATGGTAATATCTTTCTCAACCTTATAAGAAAATATTACGCCAAGACTCCATAGATGCGTTGAGCTGCGGCAACACGTGCGACAACAAATCAAAAGATCTCAATTTCAACGCAGGAAGCTTCTGATTGGTCGACTCGCATTGCCACACGCGTTGCCGCACGCATTGCCGTAGCTCAACGCATTGATTCTACTCTTATATTTAAGATTATCTTAAACATACTCTTAATGTGTTTTTAACCAATCACAGAGCCATATTAGCCTTTTAAGACAACACTTAAGATGATTTTGAAGTAAGAATCGACAATGAATACCGGCCTTAGCTTCATTCGCGCAAGCGTTTGGTAAAACAAAGTCAAGATTCTGTGACCGACAAGACACGTTTAAATTCGTCGTTCGATCCATCGCCGTTCGATCTATCGCATTGCGAGGACGATTTAAAGTCTCAGCGAGGGAGTCGCTGCTGCGTCGCAAGCAGGAACTTTGTCACTTCAGTCGGCGCGATCGGTTAGACAGAGCGGTGTCATGGCGCAACAACGATGACCGAGAGTGTGTTCCTCATCGACGAATCGAGCACGAAGGACAGTATGTGGGGCGGATTTCGCTGCAACAGGTCTCTCGTGATATTACTCCTGATAAATGTCATCGTCTTCCTAAGCATCATATGTGAGTAGTCGTCTAGTTCACGCGCTACTCCCCGCTTTCCGTCGCCGCGAGCGACCAGCATCCGCGCGTCCATGCGTGTGACAGGCGCAGCAGCACGAGCGGCGAGAACCTGCGCGCGCACGATTCGTGGTTTCGGCGCGGAATTCGAATATCGTCCAGTTTCCATTTTTTTTCACTTTCTTCAAACTCATAACTTTATAAACTTGTTTTGCGTGAATCGATGAAGTTGTGTGGAAATTAAAAGTCCAGTGGGCCTAATGGCATTTGACCACAGGGCCAAATGGCCAAAATGTTGTGTGAATAAAGGAAGTTTTCTGTTGTCAGTTGTGTCGGATTATTCAACCTATTTGTTAACTAATTACTGGCGATTAAATATTTCCAAATTCTGTTTGGATTACTGTAATCGTTGATATGTTTGTGTTTTCAAAATGTACACATTAATTACCGGAGCTGTGCAGAAGTTAAAAAGTAGATAAAAAGATTATATACAACAATAGAATTGCTATAATTGTTATCAATGTACTTTATTGAATGCGCACTCCGTATGTATATTTTTATCAATATCCTTATTATTGGTTTAATCAGTATACTTTTTAATTGAAATTCAGACGCAATCAAATTGCGATAAAATTTGAGCGATTATTATTCCGAATATTGTGATATATGAATGTAGTTCGAATGATAAAGAAAACGATCACAGTTGACCTTAGTACACTTGAAAAGTTCTCGGAATGAAATAAAAAACAGCTCATATATTTTGATAATTATTTCTCAACCTCACTGTAATGATTAATCTCCCTTTATCAATACACCCGAGCCACCTTATATCCAGATAGTGCACGTAGTTCTATGAATATTCTTCTGAAGTGCAAATATTCTTCATTTCAGAATATTTGAATCGAATATTCTATAAATATATACAGATTGTTACAATAAGAAATCGTATATTCATAACGAAGAAGAACGTTTTTAGAATGCGTCGAGAATGTTTTTTGAATATTCATCGTGTTTATGTATTGCACATTGTTTATTGTTAACACATTTAGCTTATGCAAAAGGCAGTGAAACCTGTGATCATACCCATACACAAGTTGAGGAAGAAGTATGGAACCCCTAAATTTTTCAAAAATTATGCATTTTAGAAACAAATGTTTGAGACAAAAGTTACATGGTTTCAAGGGGGACACTCAACATTTTTTATTATATTTAGAACTTTATTATACACGGTTGAATTCGCAATAAAATAAATTTTAATTTGGTGCTGACAAATTTTCAAAATTGTAATAAAAAATGTTGAGTGGTAGGGGTATTTTAAAAAAGAAAAAATTAAAAACTTTTTTGCTCACAGTTTTAAAGTACTATTGAAATTCCACTTTCGTTAAAATAATGTGTTCTAGCCCTTTCGTCAATATTCGCCCCGAAAGAGAAAATCAAATTTTCTACAAAGGGATATTTCACCACCTAAAAAGTGCGTATGGGCACGTATAAAAAAATATGTGTCCCTTATTTTGAGCTGAAAAACAACATATTCAACACTCGTCAAAATTGGTGTGTCGCCACGTGGGTAGGTTTACTTGTTAGTATACATTTTACTAGTAAAATTTCCAAAAATTCTCATAAAATTCTTCAAAATACCATGTCCCACGTATGATTTTCAGGGTAAATTTTAAAAGAAAATTATCTCCCCGTGTAGGAATGTCTTGTGCTATCTAGGTACGCTCCGGAAGGCATTATTCCATTACAAAGCTCCAATCTGTCAGACAATAAAAAATACGTGTCCCTTAAAATACGGAGAATTCCAAAAATTCCTTCTACCGAATAAAATCTTTATTTCGAGAGCAGAAAACGAAAGAGAAATCACGGTCGGTTAGCGACGTTACGCGATATCTACGTACGGATTGCGATTAAATATGCAATCTGTACGATACCTTGGTCAGCGCAGATCACTTGCCATTTATCACTCAACGCTGTTTCGAAATCTCTCTGATGGCGTCACGACACCTTGGCTATTTATACCGCACGCCGCATCTTCGCCATAACTCGCCGTTCCCTTGGTGCGTGTTCCCCGTATATCGCGGTGTGTCATCGCGAAATACCGTGACTCTCGAGCGAGATGAAAGCGTGATCGTCCGAGTAGACGACTAGCAAGTCGTCGCCAATAACTCCGATTGTTCATCACGCAGATTATCAGGAGCACAGGAAATGGCAGGATGTCAGGTCCAAGCTGGACCCGTTGATAGCCGATCTGCGGGACATGCAGGGGCTGACGTACGGCCTACTGAAGAAGCTGGAGGCGCATGGGCTCTTCGTGGAGGACACTCACGGGCGGAGCCAGCCGGTCATCTACGCGATCACGCCCACGTTCGCCAGGCCCGTGCAGAAGGCCGAGCTCACCCGGTTGGCGCAGACGTTCCTCCACGTGCCAAACTTCCACTGGATCGTCGTGGAGGACGCGTCGAAGAAGAGCGCCCTGGTCACCCGACTCCTAGAGACCAGCGGCCTCATCTACACCCACCTGGCCGCGACGACCCCGCCGAACTACAAGCTCGGCAGGAACGACCCGAACTGGAAGAAGCCGCGCGGGGTTGAGCAACGGAACGCGGCGCTGAGGTGGCTCAGGGAAAACCTCAAGCAGTCTGACAAGGGCGTAGTTTACTTCGCCGATGATGACAATACTTATTCTATCAAACTCTTCGGTGAGGTGAGGCGGCTCCCTTCGGACACGTTGAAATTATTTTGGCGACTCTTCAATCAATTCTCTTTCTCTCGTTTTACTTTCAGTGCAGAACGATTTACTTCGGAGAAGTTTTCTTATACCGTTCTATGTTTTTAATTTGAAGCAACTTCGGAATGCTGTACAGCTGAGTACGTCGTGTTTCACGTAGATATAATAATTGTAATTTATTGCTTTCAGATGGAGAAGATACAAAAAGTTGGTGTTTGGCCGGTCGGCCTAGTCGGTGGTCTTATGGTAGAGAAGCCTATTTGCGACAACGTCACTAATAAAGTAATCGGTTTCAATGCGGCGTGGAAACCGGATCGGCCGTTTCCACTCGACATGGCGGGCTTTGCCATTAATCTCGAGTTATTGTTTAAACACGGAGACGCGTGGTTCTCGTACGACGTGCAAGGCGGTTATCAGGAGAGCGAGATACTGAGGCAATTAGTGACGAAGGATCAGTTGGAGCCGCTGGCGGATTGCTGCACGAAGGTATCGAGATGTCCGTCGCGGAATTTTGTTCGATAATCTTTCCAAATATTCGTGAAACTGTAAATTCTGTGTACTTTAGGTATACGTGTGGCACACGCGAACGGAACCGCCGCAGCTGAATGTCGAACAGATGTTGATCAAGAAAGGTAAGCGTTCCAATGCTGGCATTGAGGTATAAAGAAGGAGGAAAAGGAAAAGCATTCCACGCTGCCGCGCTCTCCTAATTCCTTGGACCTAATATATATTATTAGAAATTCATTATTAGAAATTCGTTGATATCGATTCGTTTTTAAAAATAGAAAGTTGAGACAAACCTACAAGCATAAACATTCTTTTTATCGGGTTCTACATATATGTATGTACATACACTTAGGAATCATCGACACCTTCAAATATGAATTTAGGCACATGTGGAACACACATATACAGGGTGAG